GGTATTTCTAGACGTTCCCAAAAGTCAGTGCCAGTTCAGAGATGGAAAAAGTTTTGCCTACCTGAAGATGGCTCTTGACTTCGTCGTTCGTGAGTCCATCTACTTTCATGATCTCTCTTATCTGCTTAGGCGTAGCGACTGTCACCAACAAACCGAGCTTGTCATCAGAGATTGAGCAAGAAGGAAAAACGTTTTACCGTGAGAACCTCCAAGTTGCTGCAGTGCGTTTAAGAATCGCCTGTGGAGCTCCGGGGACCAACACCGCCGAGCTTTACGTTGGCTGTTTGATTCAAACTGGGAGGATGTGGTGCTGCGAGCTGCCGGGGTCGTCGCTTCTACAGTCCGCTTCTCCACAGTGGGACGAGTTTCTTCGACTACGCCACTCCGTGGACTACTTTCCGAGGACGAGAGCGTCAATCCAGCATCGCTAGTGCTTCTCAAGCCCGGTTTCTCCTCAGTGCTTGGAGCTGCTCTCACGAAAGGTGAGAACGCACCGCCAGAGTTTGCAAAGATTCCCGGGACTGCGTGCTTGGCTTGAGGACGTGTTGGGGATTCTTTCTGAAAAAAACGACAAGATCATCAAAAGAACTTCTATAAACAATAGATTTCTACCTGTGTTTTGATTTGTTTCGCCTCACTCCACAGCTGAACCTGGGCCATCCAGCTTGGTTTGTCTAGGTCCGGATCACAAGCTTTCTCGTCTCGTTTAGATTCCTCCAAAGTTTTTGGTGGAATAAATTCCTCGAGCACGGAATCAGACTTCGCTGTGACACTGTCGTGTCCGATCGCTTCGTCTCTGTAAGAGCAGCTTAGTTTTAGCAGCGAAGAAGCAGTGGATGCATCGTTGTGCTGCTGCTCGGCCAAGTGGAGTTTCAAGGCTTCTATGGCTGGAAAACAAGAACAAGCCAAGATATTGTCACACACGGCTCTAAAATCTTGCTGGAGAAGAAATCCACTTACCCTCCGTGATGATGTCCATGCACAGCGGGAGCTCTCGCTTAAAAGCCTCGATCTTTCGGCGCTCCCCTTCCAAGGCCGTCACGCAGCCTTCGAGATTATCTCCGCCGAAAGAGAATGCCTTGGCCGATCCGCACGGATTCAGCTGCAGCTTCCATCCTAATGCTAGCGCGGAGCTCATCCTTGCAATCTATCCTGCGATCAAGCATTCGGCATTAGGCGCTCCCGATTAAATCGCAACGAGAGATTGTGCGCACAAACCTGGCCCCGCGATCGATCAAAGTTCGTAGAACAAGAATCGCCGCTCGAGCGATCGCCCTGACCTAGATGCCGAGAGAATGCTGTTAGCTCGCTACCATTTCCCAAATTCCCACGTTTTCTTCTCCCTCTTTTCGAGCAGCTTTTCTGCCGGTTGACGCGTACGTCCGCCTATTTGACGGGTACGATCAAGAATATCCCGGATAAGGATAAGGTATATCCGAATAGGCGGAAGGATCTCCTATTCGCACTCGTGAAAGGTCGCCGCGTAAGAGAATCTATGAATATCCATGGCTTACAATATTCCAGGTTCGAATATCCAGTAGATTCGGCTAGAATCCACGTTTTAATCCTGTCTCACGTGGAAGATTCCTTTAGGGTTCTTGAGGGATTTTGAAAATTTCCGCCAAAAGTTTTTTTTTCTCATGAAACGGGGCTTAGGGCTTGTTGATCTACCAGCGAGGCAGTCAAATCCTTGTGCCATCAAGGACGGCGCAGCAGCTGACCTTTCAAGATCACGAGAGCGACGGGACGACTTTGGCGAGGTAGGCCATGGATTTGGAGCGCTGGCTAACCACAGATTTCATCGCCAAGGGGAAATCGGGGGTCATTCACACACGCATTGCGAGAAAGCGGTAGCAGCTCAGTTCCGGGGTCCATATCGGAATTCCCCGCGCAACGCCAAGCAATCAATGCTGTGATGGTGAAGTTCGCCGCGCGTCTTCTTCTTGACGTGCTGCTGAGCTTCGGCTGTGATTTTGCTGCCCTGGGCGAGAAGAGGGCTTTTCGGGCGAGCATATTTTCGCCATGGCAGGTGGAGGGGGAAGCGATCCTTCTACGAACACCAGGTCGCTCGAGTATACCCCAACATGGGCTGTGGCAGCAGTGTGTTTCATGTTCGTCATCGTTTCTTTGATCGGCGAGCGATCGTTGCATCATCTGGGAATTGTAAGGATTACTCTGTTTCGTTTTTCTTTTTTTCTTCGAATCAAGTTCTAACTTTTCTTTCTTCATCACAGTGGCTTTCCAGAACAAAGCGGAAGCCTCTTAGAACAGCATTGGAGAAAATGAAAGAAGGTAAGGAGTTTTCTATGCGAATTTGGTGCAAGTTTACATTCTTATTGGAGCTTTTCTTGGTGGCTACAACAGAGCTGATGCTACTGGGATTTATTTCTCTGATCATCACCGTCACTGCGTCCTATATTTCCAAGATATGTATAAGATCGTCATTCTATGATAAGCAGCGAATGCCTTGCAAGCTGCCTCACAAAGGCGACGCTACATATGATCGAATGATGGGCACAAGTTTGCTGGAAATCCCTCGTCGAGAACTGGCATCCACAGCGCATTCTTGTCCAAAGGTAAGCGATCAATATCTTTTCGAGAGAGCCTTCAAAGTGAAAATTTTGAACAGGAACACGAGCCTTTTGTCTCGTTCCTGGGCTTGGAACAGCTCCACCGCTTCATCTTTGTCATGGCAGTAACTCACGTCATCTATTCATGCTTGACAATGCTCCTGGCTATTATGAAGGTTCGTTCTCGATCAGAAATTTTGAGGACTTCGTCTGAATTGTGTCTCCTTTCCTTACTTGATTTTACAGGTATATAGCTGGAGGCCTTGGGAGCAAGAGGCCTTTGCCCACGCAGACAATCAAGAAAATCTTGCAGGTGAACATTTGTCAAGAGAGAGAATTCTTCCTGTTTTAATTGTGTTCTTGGCTAATGCAGCGCTGACCAGGAACTTAACACTCAAAAGGCAATCTACGTTCGTAGCGTGTCAGACGAGCACACCCGGCGCCAGCAACAGGCTTCTTCTCTATTTTGTTTGTACAGTTGTTGTTAGTCGCCATGTTTGGTGCTGACTTCTTTTTTCAGATTTGCTTTTTCCGTCAATTCGGTCTTTCGGTCACAAAGCCGGACTATCTTGCATTGAGGATGGGGTTTCTCACGGCACGTCTCTTCGGTGCTAATTTTGATGCGGTTGAGATGACACTTCCATTTTGCAGAAGCATAATCTTGGACCGAAGTATGACTTTCATCTTTACATGATTCGATCAATGGAGGACGAGTTTAAAGATATCATTGGAATAAGGTAAACCGTAGCAAGACTTTCAGAGCATAATGCTAATTTCTAAGTTTCTCTCAGTCCGCTCTTGTGGATCTTTGTTGTCTTGTTCATGCTCTTCAATGTGGAAGGTAAGGCATTCTTTTGTTTAAAGACATTGTTATATGTGACATTTGATATTTTGCAGGGACAAACTTATACTTTTGGATTTCTTTCCTTCCTATTGTGGTACGTTCTTAACTTTACTGCGACCAAGGATTCTTGACAGACAACGTAGCATGCAGATGGTTCTTGTCGTCGGCACTAAATTGCAACATATCATAGCGACGCTTGCCCTGGACAACTCTGGTTTATCTGGTCCGCTTAATGGATTCAACTTGAGACCTCGTGATGAACTCTTCTGGTTCAAGAGGCCACGTCTTTTGTTGCGCGTCATACACTTCATACTTTTCCAGGTGGGATAAACGGTCTCAACTTTTTTCTTACGTGAGTATTGCAGGTTGGTTTCGAGCTTGCAACGTTCTTTTGGATCTGGGTAATTTTGCTTATTCATTCCCACAGGACGTTTCTAATGGCTTGTATTAACTCTAGTGGCAATTTGGCTGGCACTCCTGCTACATGAGTCGAAGAACTTTCGTGTATGTTCGGGTGTTTTCTGGGTAAGTGAGATTTGACTTTGCACCCAGACGTGTCCAGCTGACAAGCTTTTCTCTTCCAGATTGCTTGTGCAGATTCTGTGCAGCTACAGTACGTTGCCGCTCTACGCAATTGTCACGCAGGTACTGTCTCAAAAGTCTCTAATACAACGACTGACTTCTTTTATGCACAGATGGGCTCGAACAACAAAAAGTTAGCTGCTCTGAAAAGCTTTGGCAACTCTCTGTACGTGGGCAAAGGGCAAGACAATAACGAGATTGGCTTCGTGCCAGAAAAACAAGCACCTTACAGCTACGAGCTGGGACCACTTCACAAACCCAGGACCGCAAGTGACGCAGCTAGCTATTTCAGCTCCGAGAGCACGTACCACAGCAAGCACAACAGCGTCGAACTGGACACCAGCGGCATCGAGGAATGGTACTTGAGCAAGCTCGGGGGCTATGGACGGGATTCCAGGCACTTGAGCTCGCGAGGCAGCGAGATCACAGGACCGCACAGCAAGCACAACAGCTTTGTGGCGGAGAGTTTCAGCGTCAAGCACAGCAAGCACAACAGCATGGAGATACAGACGAGCACAGGAGGATTCTCCCAGCCGGGGATTGTGGACAGCAACTTTAGCTTCAAAGTGACAACCGATGTAGTTATCCCAACCGATGATACTGCCGGGCTTCTGAGCGAGCACAGCGCTAGTGACGAGGCCGAGAGAGCAGTATCAAGACCACCACCAATCCACAGCAAACACGGGAGCTACAGCTCGGGAGGAGTCGACAACGATTCAAGTGCTCGTCACAGCAAGCACAGAAGCGTCAGTTAAAACACAAGGAAAGAAAAGAACCAAAAAGAAAAAACCGAAGCAAGAAAAAGTTTAAGAGTGACAAAGTTGGCTATGAGTTCATGAGTTCTTCCGCAATGATTTCTCCACCCTCTCAAGAGCATCGTAAACTTCCTTCCGAGCGTACCACGTCCCAAGCTTCCATACGAGTTTGCTAGCAAGGTTGCAAGAATCAATCATTTGGTAAGTGTATATGTATCTTACGTAAATCTCTTACAAATCTTTCATAAGATCGCCTCCAAGTTAAAGGATTTAGATTCAAGGAAGAGTCATAGATGTAGCAGCTCCAGTAAGCTGCTCTTTCATACGCTGGTGAGCAGCTTCTGGGGCTGCATCAGCGTGCCGCTCAATATGATCATCATCTCCGTCATCCTCTTCAAGGTTTTCATTCTTTCTGCTTTGGTTCTTTAGAATCACTTTGGCAGCCCTTTTATCTTTCTTGCTGCATCCAACGCTGCCGCTCTGACTGTAAAACTTCTTCATCACCTTGTTGCTGTTGAGGAGATCCACATCGGAAAGGTGGCCGCATGCTGCACACTTAAGACTTATCATCTTGTCCAGCAGAATATCAGTCTCCGGATTTCCGCACTTGTAACACTGAACATACTTCTCAATGAACCTGTCCAAGAGATCACACAGCTTTGGAGTTTCATGAGCGCCATTGACAATGAAAGTGTTGGTTTTGTCGTTGAAACTGGATTGTGCGCCAAGCTCACAGCCAAAGAACCTTGTTACATGTGCCGGGGAGCGTGAAAGTGCCTTAGCCACTTCCACCATATTCACAATGCTTGTCTTAATGCCATTGCCACGCCCGTGGATCTTGGTTGCCAGCTTTGGCATTTTGTACCTGCGTGCATTGGTCACCCATTAGAGCAAGTATTTCACAAACAATACCTGTAGAAAGCATCATTGTTGTTTCTAGAGCCAATATTCTGAAGTTCCATCATATCTCCAGGTGAAAGAATTTTTGAGTCAGTGGTTTTTTAGCTAAATCAAACGATAGTCACAATATTTTTATGTTCTTCTTTTTATGGTTTGAATAAATCCTATCCAATATATATTATTATTAAGATATTGTCATTATTTTATGCATGTATATATACACATGTAAATATTAAATTATTCCTATATACCTTAAAGCTCTTGTATTTTAAAAAGTTCTCTCAACAAATACTAATAAGTTTTGATGAAAGTTTAAAGTGAAAAATAATTTAATTGAAGAATGTACTAATTTATTATTACTCATCCATTTTATATCTCTAACCAACATTCTTTCATATTTGTTAATCTATATTATTTAAAGTTTTTTTATTTCATATATCTTTATGCCTCATTTATGAACATTGACAGATTAAATAATATGTAAAATACTTAAACAAACTTTAAAATATTTTATATATTATTTAATCAATCAATGTTCATAAATGAGGCATAAATATAAAATCACATTAAATTATAATATTATAGTATTATAGTTCTATTCTGAAGAAAAAATTAATTTACAAAATATTAGCTTTCATCGGTTCTATGATCCAAGTAAGCCCCTTGAAAAGTTTAATAAGTACAAAACAGTAAAAAATTAAATATAGTATAAAATAATATATTAATATTTATTTGCTACAAATTATTTTTTAGGGAAATTTAAAGTTTGTAACTATAAATATCTGGGTGACATATGTTTTCCAATATAATAATAAATCAATATTTGATATATTATAATAGCATAATCTTTATTTTTAGAAATTTAATAAACAATTGCTTAAAATTCTGTTACATTTATTTAAATAACTATAAATATTTTGAAAATTTGAAATTAATTTAATTATTTAACATTTTAAATGCTCTCGCTAAAATTTAGATATAACTAGGATTTTAAAGGTTTTGATTCATTTATTAAATAAGTTATTAGAAAGAACTTCTCAATTAATTTTCTTCATCTATAATTGATTCTAGTTTTTATAAGAAATATCTTATTTTAATCTTTTTATAACACATCATGGGCACCTATAATTATTGGGATTATCCATGTCTATAGCAAAAGTCTTTCTTCATTTTCTTTTCTATATATGGCCAATCTCCTCTCTCTTGTCCCAATTAACTCATCCAGAAGTGTTGCCTAAAATGATCTCAGGCACGACCACCGTGATCCTTCTTGCACTCACAGCTTACCTGATGGGTGGTCATTTCACTCTTGTTGAACTCGTTGAGATCAACAAACATATTTGCTCGACCAAAAACTTTTCCATTTCCATGAGTTCTTCCGCCTCATTGAAGACAATTGCTATGAAAACTTTTCCATTTCCATTAGTTCTTCCGTGTTGTTTTCTCCTCTCCCTCTCGCAAGAGCGTCAAAAACTTCCTTCCGAGCGTCCCACATTCCCAAGCTTCCATACAAATTAGCCATGAGAACGTATCCCACCTCCACCACCTCGGTACTCGCCTCGAGCAGGGACTCAAACGCTAGCTTCGCTACGCCGAAGTTCTTCCAACGGCAGCCAGCGGCCAACACCGTCGTCCATGTCAATCCAGTCGGCCTCACAGGCATGGAATCCACCATCGCCACTGCTTCCTCCAGCCGGTTTGCTCGACCCAGCAAATCGATCACGCAGTGGTAATGTTCCAGTCCCGGTTGAATGCCATAACTCGAGCTCATAACTTGGAAGTATTCCATGCCTCTCTCGACGAGCCCCGCGTGTCCACAGCTCGATATCACTGATAGAAACGTGATACCGTCGGGCTCCACGCCTTCGTCTAGCATGCTCTGGAAGTAGCTTAGAACTTGGTGGACGCTTCCCTGGCGACTTAATCCCGCTAGCAATGAACTCCAAGTTACCGTGTCGTTCCTGTCGATCGAATGGAAAACCTGGCAAGCTTCGTTGATGCTCCCACACCTGCTGTAGAAATCGACCAGGCAGCCGGCTAGAGAAGAGTTGTTTTCCAGTGATCCAGTCCTGCAAATCCCCGCGTGGAGTGCCTTCCCGAGCTGGAGAGCTGCTTTGCCTCCGCAGGCCTTGAGAGCAGCACCGTAAGTTCGAGCGTCCGGGGAGATTCTCTCCACCAGGATCATCCGTTCGAGGAGCTCCAGTGCCATCTCGCTCTCGCCACTCTCGGCGTATCCCAGCAGCAGCGAGTTCCAAGTGACGAGAGCGCGCACGGCCATCTTGTCGAAAACTCTGCGAGCGTCCGGCATGGAGTTACACTTGGTGTACATGTCGAGGAGGCTCGTCGTCACGTAGATATCGTCCCTCGTCGCAGCTCCGAATGAGTGGATCGCCATTCCAGTCTCCAAAGACGCGATCTTCACAGCTTTTCTATCGACTTCACTGCTCTGTTCCTCCACTGCCATGCTGCTGCACGCCTTGAAAGCAGCGACGAAAGTCCGATCGTTTGGCTTGAATCCTTCGCAAACCATCGCCAAGAAGAGCTCCACTGCTCTTCGTCCATGTCCGTTCTCCGCGTAACCAAGCAGCATCGCATTCCAGGAGATGATATCCCGGCGAGTGATCCTGGAAAACACTCCTACGGCATCGTCCATGCTTCCAAAGTTGGCGTACATGTCACACAGCGATGTCGCTACGAAAGTATCACGGTCGAGGCGACCATTCTTTGCAGCATGCAAGTGAAGAGCAAAGCCTCTCTCCAAACACCTGATCTTCACAGCCTTTCCATCACCACCGAGTATCTTCTTCTCTTCCCTGGCGGAGATCTTCGTGCATGACTTTACCGCAGCAACGTAAGCTCTGGAATCCGCGTAAACGTTTCTCTCTCCCACCATTCTCTCGAAAAGCTCCAGCCCAGCCTCGCCATCTCCACTCTCGGCATGGCCGAGGATCAGCGAAGTCCACGACACGATATCTGGATTCTCCATCCGGAAGAACACTTGCGAGGAGTCCACCACGCTGCCACACCTCGCGTACATGTCGATCAAAACATTGGCCACGAACTTATCTCTCACGTCCAAGTAAGATCTCGCTGCTCGAGCGTGAAGATCCATGCCAATCTCCAGCGCTCTAGCCTTGACAGCCACTCCATCCAGCTCCAACTCCATCGCTGGATCTCCCGCCGCCAATGCCAGACACGCCTTGATCGCTGCCACAAAAGTCCTGGCATCTGGCTCGCATTCCATCCGCGAGAAGAGCTCCAGGGCGATCTCTCCCTGGGCATTGGTGGCATAGGCGAGAATGAGAGCGTTCCAGACGGCGGCATCGAGGTCATGGCGAGGGATCCTGTCAAAGAGGGCGCGGGCATCAGCCACATTTCCTTGCTTTGCAAGCCTACTGATCGATCTGCTTGCCTGGAAGAGCTGATTCTTGTGGAGCTCGCGCCGGCGATTCGACTCGTCCTCCGGGAGCTGGAGATGGCGGTGACGCCGCGCTGCTACCGCCATGTCCATAAGCCCTAAACGTGAGAATAAAACTGTGAAACGCAAACTCCAATCGATTAGCAATATCCATTCCATCCCTTTGGGAGAATACAAGCAAAGTAATAAAAAAACCATAGGAGACTTTACTATTTTCCAGTGAGCCGAAAGAACCCCATTGTTCTCCACGTGCTTTAGTGCTCCTATTTGGTCAAACTTCTGGAACTTTAAAGTTGAAAGCTTATATAGAAAGTGAGCCAAGAATGCTACAAGCAAACGTGATTGATAAACCAAAAATTCTCCATTGATCCAGACACCAAACCAACAGGCCAACTTGAAACACGAATAAATCGTTGAAATGCTTTGGGCTGCCACATCATACCATCTAGTTGAATCTAGCCGCCAGCAAAATCGCGATGAAATTTTACACTGACCATGCTACGGCCGATCTAGCGGAATGAAAGCGCTCCGGTTTCCCAAAGAATGCGCGCTGCTAAAGCGCCGCTTTCCGGAAGATCGAGACGCGAGAGAGAGAGAGAGAGAGAGAGAGAGAGAGATTTAGGTTTAGCGCCAAGGCATATACCCCGATTTAAAACTGACTAAGGCTTACCAGATCCTAGGGTTTTGAGTGGGGATGGGCTACTCGACGCAGCCATGGCGCAGCAGCAAGATAGGGCTGCTGGAATTCGTGGACGTCTCAGGCAGGATGATGGAGAATTTTCTTCTTCCAGGGGATGAGAGCCAGAGTGACAGGGAGTACCTGGAGATCAATCTTGCCCACGCGGGTTTGGGCGGGCGGCAGGCGGCCGAGGCGCGGCAGCTGCTCGACGCGGTGGATTTTGCCAGGAGATGGAGCATCGAAATGGGCGATCTGGTGGAGATCCAGCGCCGCGTGGTGGGGAGATCAAGCGAGGGATTGCCATGGCTTGTGAGTTGGCTTGTGAGGTGGGCTTTCCCAGATTTTAGGAGCAACGAGGCCCGTGACGAGCTGCGCGACGCAATCCTTCCCAAGCTCAACGCGCGCCTTGCCCAGTCGCAAGACCCTCTCGAGCGAGTCAAGGCGGCGGCATGGTTTTCTAAGTGCTTGACGAGCCTGCGGCCCTTTGTCGATGGAAACGCTCGCGTTGGCGAGGTGGTAGTGTCGATCATCCTCAAGGATTGGGCTCCTTTTCCTCTCAGGATACACGATCGTGGATGGCTGCGCGAGCAATCAATTCCAAGGGATGGTATTGGAGAAGAGGAGCTTGCAGCCTTGATCCTCCAGCGGGCCGCATAATCGATATGTTCTTCCTTAGTCATGGCTTTCAATTCTCTCGAGATCTTTGAACGTGAATCTTTTAAACTTGCCTAGAATATCCGAATCGTCCGCTACTTGTGGACGCGGTGGAGTCGTCTTCCGGATGGAGAATCCAGATATCGTCGCTGATCCTAGGCCATGCCGTGGAGATGGCGAGGCTAGGTTGGAGCTTTTCGATGGTGGCGGAGAGAAACGTTTGCGCGGATTCCAGATGGTAAAGTCAGATCTCCGCCAGGGAAGAGAAGAAGAAACTCGGTGGTGATGGAAAGGCTGTGAAGATCAGGTGTTTGGAGAGAGGCTTTTCTCTTCATTCTCACGCTGCGAAGAAAAAATAGCGACATCGCTGGGATACACGCAGAACAGACAGGGACGAAGAGCAGTGGAGCTCTTTCTCGGCGATGGTTTGCGAAGGATTCAAGCCAAACGGTCGGACTTTCATCGCTGCTTTCAAGGCGTGCAGCAGCATGACAGTGGAGGAACAGAGCAGCGAATTTGATAAGAAAGCTGTGAAGATCGCGGCTTTGGAGACTGGCATGGCGATCCACTCATTTGGCGCTAAGACGAGGGACGACATCTACGTGACGACGAGCCTCCTCTCGATAAGATGGCCGTGCAACTTGCAACTCCGAGAGAGTGGCGAGAGCGAGATGGCACTGGAGCTCCTGGAACGGATGATCCTGATCGAGAGAATCTCCGCAGAGGCTCGAACTTACGGATGCTGCTCTCATAGCCCGACGATATCATGTTTCTATCAGTGATATCGAGCTGTGGATACGCGGGGCTCGTCGAGAAAGGCATGGAATACTTCCAAGTTATGAGCCGAATTATGGCATTCAACCGGGACTGGAACACACTAACACTGCGTGATCGATTTACTGGAGCGTCCCACATTCCCAAGCAAGTTAGCCATGAGAAACCACCAGGGACCCAAATGCTAGCTTTGCCACTCTCAAGTTCTTCCACTGGCAGCCCGCGGCTAGCACCGTCGTCCATGTCAATCCAGTCGGCCTCACAGGTATGGAATCCACCATCGCCGCCGCTTCCTCCAGCCGGTTTGGAAGGATCGCCTCTCTTGCGCGAGTGAGAGGAGAAAACAAACTCATGGAAACTATGGAAAGGTTTTCATAGCAACCGTGATGAATGCCGGTTGAATGACAGACACCTCTGGGGCAAGATAGAGACGACCACCCAACAGGACATGAATGAAGAATGCGATTTAGAAGATCAAGACGCTGCAAAAATACCCAAAAACTATTGGAACGCTGGTCTACTTTGTATATGTCCGAGATCGTCCTAGGCTCGAGAGCGGAAATGATTGACAATACACATTTATGTTTATATGATGATAACTTTATTCTAATGCCTATATCCTGCCATCAACTTCTGTGTTTGTAGACCTCTTCTGGTAAGCCTGTCCTTCGCAGCGTCTGTGACTCTTTTCCAAACCCTTCCAACGCACCACCTTTGCACAGTCATTGGCAATGCTTGACAAAGACCTTGGAAACATAAACAGCTGCACAATCACATCCGAGTAGTCACGGTCTCTGAAACATTCAAGGCTCTCTAAATTCTCTGGAAACTTCCTCCGGAAAGCTTTTGGGTAGTGGAGAGGAAGAGCGGATGGTTGTCGCCGTAGAAATCAACTTTTATTTCCACTCGGAGTGGAATCAATGACTTGAACCAGATGATGGAAGCCGACAGGAGATACGTGCTACTTGACAGCCAGGAGCGCGTGAGAGACTACTGCAGTCCGTATCACAGGAGGTTGCACATCGAGGTAGGCGAGCGAGACAATTTCAAGGGTGGTGCATGGGTTCCATATTACGATTATCTGCTGAAGAATCCCAAGGGTTGGCGGACCACGGTGGTATATGGTTGTAGGATGTTTAAGGCAACATCAGAATCGAACCCTTTTTTTCTCCTCCCAAGTATGCAGCTTGGATTGGCGACCTTCGGAACAAGGTCGTGGATGGAATTTTCTTCCTTCCGTTGGTGTGGAACTTGCATGCTATGACAGGGCTGTTGCTTCCAGGGATTCACAGGGCAAGCTGCATTTCTTTGCTCTACAGGCTACAACGAATGAGAAATCCCACAGGCCCAGTGTTGGGGAGTTCATGAATCTTGGAGTGGTGGAGAAATGGATATCTTTTGAGGACAAGTCATCGGGATGGCAGCCCAAGCACGACTGGACATTGCATTATACATTGTCTGCTTGAACCAGTCCAGATTCGGTGATTTTGCGTCTTCCAAATGGGAAATACTTTGGCATGGCTGGATATACAGTTCCTTTTCAGGACGCTTTTCGCCACAGCCTCCATCATGGCCTCCAAGAGACGCTCAAGCAAGTCACAATGAAGTAAGAGCCTTCAAATGGCATCTGCCAAAAGAGCAGCAGTAATATGAGTTCTTGTGTCACTATTGGAGGAAAAAAAACTTGTAATATTACAACAGAAAGAAACACACACATATCTCAGTGAGAGTATCTTGAGCAAGACAGGGCTCCACAGGGAGACTGGGGACAAAAACATCCTTGGGTTGTTGGAGGAGAGCTGGAGAAGAGATGAATTGCTCAGCAAACTCAATTTTATGAGGGAAATCAGAAAAATGACCAGCTAACTTTGACTTGACCAGATTAATGACGTGGACACCACGACCTTGGGTCAGCACACGACGATATAATGGCCTCTCAAATCGTCGTCATGGTCACGGCAAAGATCATGGCGCTGCTCCAATTCCTCTTCCTCTCTCTCCTCCCGCTCGCGCTCGCATACGATCGAATGCCTCTGGGATCGTCCCTGCTCACCACTGAATCTCTCATTTCGGCAAATGGCAGAGTGAAGCTCGAGTTTTTCTCCCCAACCGGAGGCAACAGCAGTGATCTCTACTTAGGCATCTCCTTCAACACCACAACCAGAGAAATCATGGAATTCATCCCCATCTGGATTGCAAACCGCGACACTCCGGTGACTTCCAACGCCTCGCTCCTCCTCACTAGCAAAGGGGAGCTCCAAATCATCGATAGGGGAAGTATCATATGGTCTGGCGCTCCCAGCTCCAGCAACTCGGGAATCACCCAAGCGGTGCTCCTAGATTCGGGCAACTTCGTCCTCACTGACAACGCCTTCGATCCTAGAGACGATAACGCGACGTATCCCTGGCAGAGCTTCGATCACCCGGCGGATGCCTGGGTCCCAAGGATGAAGATGTTCCTGGGAGCCAACCTCACGGCCTGGAAGTCGAGCGTCTCTCCGGCTAGTGGGCGATTCGTCATGACCATGAGAACCTCTAACGAGTTCGTCATCTCCACCACGAATGATACGTCGCGGGAGTACTGGACGTCCGGTGCTTGGAACGGCAAGATCTTCTCGCTGGTACCGCAGATGACCGACAACTATCTCTACACGTTCATCTTCAACGCCACCAATCCTCCATCCTTCACTTGGTTCGAGAAGAGCTTCCAGCACTCCATCTTTCGCCTCGGGCACGATGGAAGGATCGAGGTGAAGCAGCTGGATGGAAACGGAAACTGGTACACCCCCTGGGCCGTCCCGGCTAACATCTGCGACGTGACTTCTCTCTGCGGATCAAACTCGGTTTGCTCGAGCAGCTTGAATCCACCCTGTAGTTGTCCCACCGGATCGAGCCCGAGCAACGACACTAACTGGAGAACCGAGGACTGGGCCGAAGGCTGCACCGCTCTCTCGAGCCAAGCACGGAGAAGTTCTTCCAAGAACTCGGGAGTTGCCATCGGAGTCGGAGCTGGCATCGTGCTGTTGCTGCTGGCAGGACTAGCGGCGTTTGTGATCGCCAGGAGAAGACGCAAGGCCAAGAGAGTGAGCTCCAGCAGTGGCAGCAGTAAGAGCGATCAAAGGTCCATCTATAACTTTGTTGAAGGCGAGCTCGCCAATTTCACGTTCAAGCAGCTCCATGCAGCAACCGATGGTTTCAAGAAGCGTCTCGGGAGTGGCGGCTTTGGAGAAGTTTTTAAAGGGAGCATCCAAGGCCAGGCCGTGGCTGTCAAAAGACTGATCAAGTTCGATGACAAGCAGTTTCGAGCGGAGGTGAGCACCCTTGGCACCGTTCAACACATCGACCTCGTCCGGCTTCGAGGATTCTGTGCCGAGGGAAGGCTCCAGAGGCTTCTGGTGTACGAGTTCGTCGAGAGAGGATCGCTGGACAGGACCCTCTTCAACCGAGATGCTGAAAACTCTGTCGTGCTCAGCTGGAGCCAAAGGTTCGGGATTGCTCTCGGGACGGCCAAGGGACTGGCATACCTTCACGAGGATTGTCGACACCGGATCATCCACTGCGATATCAAGCCAGAGAACATCCTCCTGGACGCCGAGATGAAACCCAAAATCGCCGACTTTGGCCTGGCCAAGCTTCTGGGACGAGAGTTTAGCCGAGTTGTGACGAGCATGAGAGGAACCCGCGGCTACCTTGCACCAGAGTGGCTGTCAAACATGCCCATCACCCCCAAAGCCGACGTCTACAGCTACGGTATGACGCTGCTCGAGATCATCAGCGGCCGCAGGAACATCGACTTCCGAAACGACCAGATCTTCTTCTATCCCCTCTGGGCTGCTGAGCAAGTTTGTAACGGTGAGTTCGCGAAGTTGCCAGATGATCGTCTCGACGAGTGGGATGAAGAAGAGCTACGCCGGGCTGCCAGAACTGCTATCTGGTGCGTGCAAGACGAGGAGATCAATCGGCCCAGCATGAAAACCGTGGTGCAAATGCTCGAAGGACGTGCGACTGACTTTCCAGACCCTGTGAAGCCGAGCTCGTTTGAGATCTGGCTTGAGTTTCAAGAACAAAGTGCCTGACAAGCGTAGTGGCATGGATTAAGAAAGAAGTCAGATCAGCGATTTCTTTTGGAATCTCGGTTGGATTTTCCAGCCAGGAAACCCACCAAACGGAAGACCAGAAAAGCAAAAGAATTAGTAAAGGAACTCGTATTGCTGTAGTAGCCCTGATTGAAGGAAGAAGTCGCCCTCCTCGTGCTCGAGAGATCTTCCTAGAATGCGGCCGCCATTTGAGACGACCCAAGTGGCAAAGTATGCGTGTCCAGGTTCGTAGTTTTCTATGGATTGGGCTTGTGGGTGATCGCCACCATGGATCGAATCTCTCTCCTCCTCTTTTTCTCGCTCGTCTCGCTCGTGATCCATCAAACTAGCCTCGAAGTTTCAGCTCAACCAGGTGAGTGAGAAGAAAATCTCTTCCCCTACCTTGAAGTTCTTCCCTGCTAAAGCAAGGAACTCTTTTATCCTTTTGGCAGGATTTTTGAGCTTGGATTGTGGAGCGAATGCAAGCTATACGGATCCAGCCACCGGAATTCGGTGGCAGCCAGACGCTTTCTTCCTCTCGAGTGGAGCAAGTAACAGCGTCATCCAACAGGTATCAAACTCTTCCGTCCGGAATCCATACAGGCAGCTTCGATCTTTTCCTGGACCCGATCGCAAGAGCTGCTACTCGCTTCCTGTGAATGCCAGCCAGCGCTATCTCATCCGAGCAACTTTTCTCTATGGAAACTACGATGGCCGAAACACTGCTCCCGAGTTTACCATATATCTCAACGTTACGCGCTGGGCCGAAGTGAGGGTGGAAGATATCAACCGTGAAGTTTTCGTGGAGATGCTGTTTCTCTCCCCCGGATCGACGCTGGAAGCTTGTCTTGTGAGTGGAGGAACTGGAGTTCCATTTATCTCTACTCTCGAGCTTAGACAACTGATTGGATCCATGTACTCGGCTCCATACGAAGGTCGAGCTCACCTCCAACATATCGTTCGCATCAACTTTGGAGCTCTCACAACCGACGACGTGAGGTAAGAAAAATCACCAGAGTTTTTCCTTTCTACAACTTTGCAGCAAAACTTTCAGGTATCCGGATGATATAGTCGATCGAAGATGGCAGTCGGATCTTACCAGGCCAAACAATCTCGCCGCGGAAGCTCCCGGGACGATCCGAGTGAACACAACTTCGACGGTAGGAGTGGATACGGCTGCCGAGAGGCCTCCCGAGCGTGTCATGCAAACCGCAGTGGTGGGATCCAATGGAAGCTTGACGTATCGCTACTTGATCCCAGAGTTCCCGGCGTTTGCTTTCGGAAGAACTTACTTTGCGGAGATCCAAGAGTTGAGAGCCAGGGACGTTCGAGCTTTCACCTTCATCCTGCCCAACGATACGTTCTTTCGAAACCAAGTTGTGAACCTCCGGAATGACATCGGTGCGTTTCAAGCCTACGAACCTGGATATGACAACATCTCTTTGCCTGGAATCATAAACTTTGCTTTCCAGAGAACGGCGGAGGCAAACTTGGGTCCTATACTCAACGCCATGGAGGTGCTGAGGATTGTAAACAGGCAATCTCCCACAAACTTGGACGATGGTACTCAAGTTCTTCATTTTCTACGCTTTCATTTCATATGATCCTTTTTTTGCAGTGAATTCCCTCGGCCAATTCATTCAGCAGTTTGGACTCTCTGGGACGGGAGATCCATGTCTTCCCGTGATGTGGAACTGGATAACTTGCAGCAACGATGGAATTCCGAGAGTTAATGGAATGTAAGCTTTGAAAATGTTTACCATTGTTTTGTTCAAGTTCGAAGCTTGTTTTTGTGCTGAACAGAATACTTCCAAACAGTAACTTGAATGGTACAATCCCTGCTGGTGTTTCTCAAATGACAGGCTTAAACATATTGTAAGATCTTCGTCCAGTTTTGTTTCTCATCTCACGTCTTACGTTTCTTCTCTTCCCGCAGAGATCTCCGAAACAATTCCTTGTCAGGTTCTATACCCGATATGAGTCGACTCTCTGTCTTGAGACAACTGTAAGTTTAGTGAATTGTCCTAGGAAGGTATTTGAGCGTCTAAGTTCCAGGCATCTCGAAAGCAATCGTCTTAGCGGAGACTTTCCGGAATCTCTCCAAAATATACAAACACTCCAACTACTGTAAGTAGCTCTTGTCAATCCAATATTTTATAGACTCCATTCATTTCTCCTGTTGCTAGATACATCCAGAACAACCTTTTAACTGGAAGTATACCCGAGGACCTTCTAAACAGGCGTGGCTTGGATTTCCAGTACTCTGGAAATCCAAACCTGTGTACCAGGGATTGCTCGAACAATAACTCACGATCGAGAGTTATCGGAGGAATTGTTGGTGGATTGATAGGAGGGATACTTCTCTGCGCGGCAGCAGCAACAGCAATATACTTCCTGTTCTTGAGAAAGAAGCCGAGATCATATAAGGGAAGCACTCCATCAAAAACTACTGCGGACCAGCGTAAGTCCTGAAAGTTTCGTTCTCTGGTTTCTTGCATTTCGTCTCTAACGAAGGAAAAACTCTCTAGCAGCGGACTCTTTCACGTCCATGATCTCCACACACCAGTCTCACGGATCCGACAGTGGGAGCTTCGTCCAGGAGCAACCAAGCGATGCGTATCGCTACTCGTTCCAAGAGATGAAAGAAGCATCAAACAACTTTGGCAACAAGATTGGCTCCGGTGGTTTTGGAACTGTCTACTATGGAAGGCTCAAGAACGGCAGAGAAGTTGCGATCAAAGTGTTATCAGCGACGTCGCACCAAGGAGCCAGAGAATTCTCCAACGAAGTAAGTTCTTTCTTCTTCCTCTTGGACCTTTCAATGAACTTGGCTCTTTCAGGTAACTCTCTTGTCTCGCATTCACCACCGTAACTTGGTTTCGTTCTTGGGATTTTGCCAAGAAGGAAGAGAACGAATCCTCGTGTACGAGTTCATGCACATAGGAACGCTGAGAGATTGCCTCTACGGTATGTGATTCTCGAGATCGAGCAAAGCACAAGTGCTAAGATTTTATTGTTCTTTGCCAGGTAAAGAAGAAGATCGACTCGTCCTGGACTGGACTTCGAGGCTCAAAGTTCTTTTGGACGCAGCAAAAGGTCTGGAAGTTGTCCAAAAAGAACTTTTTTTATCTTCTTCTTCTTCTTCTTCTATCCAGGCCTAGATTATCTCCACACTGGATGCAATCCGAGCATCATCCACCGAGATGTCAAGAGCAGCAACATTCTCATCAGTGACAAGAAAACTGGCAAAGTTGCCGACTTTGGCCTCTCCAAAATGACCTCGGAAGGGTCGAGCCTCGTCTCCACCACTGTCAAAGGAACAGTGGGATACTTGGATCCCGAGTAAGAGCTCTTCTCTCTTCTTCTACTTCTGTCTCTAAAGCTCGATCCTCTCTTCGCAGATACTACATGAACCAACGCCTCACCGAGAAGAGCGATGTCTATAGCTTTGGAATCGTTCTCCTCGAGACCATCTCCGCGAGAGAGCCTCTCAGTCCCGAGCTCTTCGAGCCGGAATCCAACATCGTCCAGTGGGTCAGTGCGATCTCTCGCGTAGTTCTTCTTCGATCGAGCTCATGGATTCCTCTTCTTCTTCTTCCAGGCTCGAGCGGCTCTCCAAAAGGGGGACATAAAGAGCATCGTGGATCCAGCGCTTGGCGACGCTCCCCGGATGGAATCTCTGTGGAAGGTCGGCGAGATCGCAATGTATTGCGTGGAGCCGCATGGGGTGAATCGACCAACGATGGCGGAGGTGGCGCGCGAGCTCCAGGAGGCTCTGGATCTCGAAGAAGAGCCGGTCGGCCTCGAATCATCGCCAAAACCACACAATCCCGACCAATTCGACGATGACGTAGAATCATCGCGAGCAGCAGCAGCGGGAACTCCCTACCACCTGGATGCGCCCAGAAATCCACGGTCGACCATGGATCTAAGCTCGGTCTTCGCCCAACCCCACGCCCGGTGAGGGTGTTCTTGGCGCCCAAATTCAAAATATCTTCGTTTGGAGGATATTCGCTAGGGTTTATGACGAGGGCGGTATGCTCCTCGCGAATCCACTGCCTTGTTTCAAGGCTTTGGAGCTTCAGCACAGATTTTCTCCGAGAATTCGAGCGCTGCGCTCCCGGTGGCGCGGCGCCAGAGCATGCTCATCGTCGGCGCCATTCGAGACTAGTAAGTGGAATTTGGTTGTGAGTTTTGTGGTTTTCTTCTGCTGCTACAAGTCGGGCCAGCAGCAGGAGCAGCCTTGGAAGAGAATTCGTGGTGAGAACTTGATATTCTTCTCAGGTTTAGCTGCGAGCTAGATTTTTATGGCGTGATTTTTGGAATTTCTCGCTAGATGAGCAAGAAGAATTTGATGCTGGTTTTATCCATAATTTTTCCGGGCTTGTATCTAAAGGGACTGAGAAGCTCCCACATTTGAGGAACCGGGTGGAGCGTATGATGCAGGCTATCCAGCTGAGGAAAGCAATAAACTACAACATCCCCGCTTCAAAGGTCTGATTTCTTTCCTTGTTTTCTCTACAGTCTCATAGAATTCTTCTGTTTGCAGATCTTGGAAGCTCTCACCGCTGCTAATTGTCACGAGCCATACTGCTACGAGCGCATAGAACTTCTCGGCGATGCGTATCTCAAGTGGGCCGTGAGCACCAGACTCTATCTAAAGTTCTCAGATTTTCCGGAAGGAGAGCTCACGATCACGCGTGGAAAGATCATCTCAAACTCGGCGCTTCACTACCTTGCCTTGGAGAAAGGACTTGAGACTTACGTGAGGATAAATCCTTTCGTGCCTGGAAGAGAGCCCACGGATCTCCAAGAGCTCTCAAGTAAAGTCCTGGCAAACGTGGTGGAAGCACTGATCGGAGCTTACTACGTCCACCATGGCGACAAAGGTGCTCGGCACGTAGTGGAGTGGCTTGGTATCGAGACAGGCTTTAGCGATGCCGAGCTCCAGATCGCCAGGGCTGGAAGTGTTGTTTCTCCAGAGGTTCTCAATTCGATCGACTTTGAGGGGCTGGAAAACACACTCGGGTATAGTTTTAGATCGAGAAATCTGCTCGCTCAGGCTCTCACGCACTCTTCTTCTCGGCAAGCTTCCATGGTTCCTATTTACGAGCGTCTCGAGTTTATAGGTGATGCTGTGCTGGACCATCTCTTGACAAGGCACATATACTTCTCCTACAAGGACTTACATCCCGGGCGCTTGACAGACTTGCGCTGTGCAGCTCTTAACAGCGAGAGTTTTGCTCGAGCAATGGTCAAGCACAAGCTCCATGCTCATATCTTGCACGAATCGAATGACTTCCACTCTCAAGTAAGTTGTTGATCTCTTTTCTTTAGTTTTGTTTGGACGAGTAGTTTCCTTTGCAGCGCAGATAAAAACTTATGCGAAACATGCGCTTAATATGGAAGAGAATGCCATCTATTCGTATGGTTTTGGAGCTGTCAAGGCACCGAAGGTGTTAGGAGATGTTTTCCAATCACTCGTTGGGGCAGTCTACATTGACAGTGGCTTAAACTTGGATCAAGTCTGGAAGGTCTGTTGTTTTTCTTTTTTCCTTTCTTTCTCTTAAACATGAAATCGCAGGTTTTTGAGCCATTGCTACAGCCGCTGGTGACACCAGAAGCAGTTCCAATCCATCCAGTCCGCGAGCTCTACGAGCTCTGTGACAAGCACTTGAAAAAACTGGAATGGGATTACTCCTTGTCCGGGGATCTGTTCCTAGCCAGGGCTCTCGTCGGAAACAAAGTTCTCGGCCGTGGTACAAACGTCCAAAAAAAGATGGCGAAGAAGCTGGCGGCCATCAATGCAATAGCGAAGCTCGACAAAAGCGCGTCCCCTCTAACACCGTCTCAAGAAGAAAAAGCGAGTGGAGAATTCTCAAGACAGGCGCTACATGAGCTGTGCTCTCAGAGAGGTTGGCCATGTCCAGACTACAAGTAAGTTTCTAGTTTTCTCCATCTTTTTATCGATCTTCGTTTTGCAGCACACACAGTGAAACCGGGCCGGCCCACGCAAAGATGTTTACATGCACAGCATCGGTTCGTATCGAGCAAGGAGAGAAACAAGAATGCATCGGTCAGCCAAGGCCTACGATCAACAAGGCCAAAGACTCGGCAGCAAGGGTGCTTATGGAAACTTTGCAAAAAAGTTAAGTCTTTTCGTTCTTTGTAGAGCTTTGATCATTTCAACGAAAGTTAAAAATTTCATGTTTTTACAAGGCTAGAAGGTGGCAAAACTTTGAGAGCCAAGAGCATCGAAAAATCTCTTCCATCCAACGTAGACTCCCTCGATAACCAGCGCAGCTAGATCCGCTGGAGGATAAATCCTGGCATTGGCAACATTTTCCTCCGCCACTACAATCCGAGAGGCACCAGCGCCATCGCTGCGAACCATCTCAAACTTTTGCTCCTCCTGAGCTCTCGCGAAACATTCATAGTAGTCCCTCTTGTCCACGAAAGGAGGTTCATCCGCATTGCCATCGCTTCTCTCCACGAGGAGAACATTGGGAAACGGCATCACGCTGCGAAGGAGTGCTGCTAGAACGATCCTCCCAACCCGGCCATTCCCGTCCAGGAAAGGATGGACGTTCTCAAACTCGAAGAAGACCCTGGCACCAAACTTGAGGATCGCCTCCAAGCTCTCGGCCGAGAACTCCGCCTCGTCGATGGCGATGAGCTCCTTGAGTTCTTCGTTGGAGCTCGCCACCAGCTCTTCCAGCGCTGCTTCCACTCGCGTCGGCCACAAAAAGACGTGAATTCCACCCGCTAGCGTCCTGGTAAACACCACTTCGTGCATCTCTCGCCTCAAGTGTGCTGCAAACTCGGGCTTTGTGCTCGCCATGAGCTCCTGGTGAGCTTCCAAGATCTTTGGAACACTGAGGAGCTCGACCACTGTGCCATTCTCTTGGTGATCCGGAAAGAAAATCCTCAAGGCTCGGTCGAGGCAGCGCACGGCTTCCAGCCTCCTATCGGATTGAATCACATCTCCCAGCTCAAGAGCTTTGCCCCGAAGAATGGCTTCCCTCGTCTCCTCAAAGGTGTCAAATCCCTCTCCCTCGATCTTGTTTACCTGGAAGAGGTACTGCGACAGAGCCTCGGGGCCATAGCTCTCTCTCGCCCACCGCTTGTGCTCCTCCGGGAGCTGCCTGTATCGATCTCGGAATTCGTGGATCCTAGAGACGAGCTCGCTAGTGCTCACTGCGTCGCTGGATCGCCAGAATGGATTCGCCGAGACCTCGTAGTCCGCCTTTCCCGACGCCCGTGCGTCTACTGCGATCACAAGAGCGATCGCGAGGATGAATCGAAGGAGCATCGCTCAACCCTATTCTCTCGCTGACAAACCCTAATACAAACTTTTTATATTCCCTAGTTTAAATAGGATAATATATATTTAGGGGCTCGCCATTCTTCCATAAGCCCTAAAACCAGAGCGCCAAATTCAAATTTAAACGTGGAGGGACCATCTTACAAGTTCTTTCTTTTTTTTTTTTTTGGCCTTTCTCTTTGGGGAGAACGAATGTACACAAACTTGGTCCCTTTCCTCACTAGAGCAGATAAACTAAGCCTTGGAAAATTAGTCATCCGCTCTCTCAACTCTCACTCTTTCTTCCTTCCAATTTATGCTCGTCTTGATCATGATCTTGGTGTTGATGATTTTGCTGCTGTTGATCGCTTTCCTGCTGCTGCGGTTGCACTGCAGCTTGTTCCTGTTGCCGCTTCATCACCCCTTTCTCGAGCACATCCACGGGAACGTAAGCGAATCCTTTCGGCAAAAGCCTGTTGTGCATCGAGGCCTCAGTGGGGGTCATTATCTTCTCTCGACCCAAAGGCTCCGAGTGCTGCACAAACAAGGTGACAATCAGTCACGAACCACAAAAGAGGAAAAGACAGAGACGCTACCCGGTTGAATCTTCTGAGCTTCTTTTGATCCCGGATTCCGGTGTTTGCGTCTGCTTTCGTCGTCGACCATGTCAACTCTTTGGTGTTGTTATTTCTTCCGGCCGGCCAGATAGGTTCCGTCAGCCTCGACTCGGCAGTCCAAGGCACGTCCAAAAGGCTATCGCTGTACAGTGGCCCGTTTCCTTCACCTGGTTTTTGATGATTCACAGCTTGATCCACCGAGTGTCCTCCCACGACAGCTACAAGCTGATTAATGTACAAATCTTTAATACAATGTGTCAGCTCCCGCTGGAAAGAACACAACGAGGCTTAGAATGCATCAAAAGAAACAACCGCGGAAGTGGTCTACCTTGATCCGCTCTCTCTTGCAGATGCGCTCGCAAATAAGCCGAACCCGCTCAAACTCAACCTATGAAACACCTTCAGCAAAAGGGAGAGAAGAACAGGAGAAGCTTTTATACCCGAATCTGCCGCAGTGCATTTATCTCGTCCGGAGAACCATACTGCTTCAGCTCCGCCTGAGAGACGAAATCAGCTGACTGAACAGAGTTTTGACCAATTAGTGCGCGTGAAATATGTTTGAAAAAGGTGGACTAAGCAAACCTTTGCTCTCTGTTGAGGACTGTGACGCTCACAAAATGCTCGGTAATGAGCTCTGCCATTGATATTTCTCGCGCTGATATAAAGCCCAGAGTCTCGTGCACACATAGGATGGAAAGCACCGGAGCAGTGACCGAAGTTGCACTGGTAGTAAAAAAACATAAAGGTCCGTAACGATATTCGAGTTAAAAAGACTCCAAACCTTGATACATGCTCCTTGTTGTTGCTGGCAGATGGTGCACGTTAAGTTAAGCCGCTCACTCGGGACGGCCTCCTGAAAAACATTCTGCTTTAGATCCCTCTAAAGCTGGAAAGTGCAGATTAAACTCACCAGTCCTCCAATTGGACACGATTGCTCTCGTCCGAAAGTTGTCTTCGGCACCCACTGAAAGAAACACAATTACAGCGATGCTCGGAAGACGAAAGTTGAGACATTACCAGAGCGCAAAAAACATGCACCCAACGTCCATCCGATGATTTCTTGAATGCACCATACGCAATAGGACATAGAGCGCATTGAACACCCGGTGCTATCCGATCGCCATCTTCCATTAGCTTCACTGGCTGGTACTGGAGCTCGGTACAAGGCTGACAATACCAAGGAGCTGTAGGGAAAGGGTGAATACCATAGCAATCTTGATGGACTGCAACCTGCACACACACCATAGTTGCCACATATGTTTGCAGAGAAAAACAAAAAGAGAAAACGCTTACGTTGCACCGGTGGCAGTGGACGATCCTATTCAGCCGTAGAGATTCGTTGCTACTGCACACGTCGCACGCGTACTGGTCTTCATGCCTGTAGAAAGCGGGTTGCACTCTAAAGGACGACGAAACGTTGAGCCTCGGTGGTTTCGGTACAGGCGGCTTGAACGGACGCACATAGGGAGAATGCGGGTTGCCATGGTTGAGCTTATACTCTGCCGTCGCGTCTTGAGTAGGATAGTACGGGTCATCGTGCGTCGCGAGATCCCGTTTCACATATCCTGTCCTCGGCGATGCAGCAGCAGCAGCAGTAGCAGCAGCCAATACGGCCTGAGCTTCTCTATCTTTTTTCTCTTTCCTGCCTTGTTTTCGAGCTTCCTTGACATCAGCTAGAAACTGACTGACAAAAAGCAGATCTTGCAGTTGTTTTCTCGCAGCTTGCCGCTCCTTGGATAGCTGGCACAGTATTCTAGAAATCAATCGCTCTGTAAAAAAACAAGAGAAAGAAGCGTTGAGAAAGTTTCAGCTTATGGTCAATGTGACATACCTGACATGACACGATTTGATTGTGCTCGATCGATCAGCTGGTTTTGCAGAAGGAATATTTCTGCTTCCACCTCGTCCTGTGGACACCAATCCAGTACACCGAGATGCTTGGCTTTACGCAACTGCTGCCACTGCTCATCCAGACTATTTCTGTCCGAGGTACTGCACTCAAGTTCCTCCTGACCAGAAAATGAGCAGTCTAGTGTCTGGGAATTTGATAAGTTCGGTTCCATGTGTAACAGCCTTTTCATGACCCCAGGAATTACGTACAATTGCTGATCCGTTCCCCCAGCGCTGGAGAAGCAACAATATCAGTATAAATTACTATACAGAAGCTCCAAACACTCACTCGATTGAGTCTTCATGATCTTGCGGACTAGAAGCTTCCAACCCAGGGCTATCACTGTCAAAAATCCCATTTGACATCTCATTGTCAAAGAGCCGACTCTGGTTTTGCATAACTGTCATCATTGGCTTTTGGATCTCCTCTCCTTGCAAACTTTCAGCCACAGATGGTCTGTCGTCCTGCATTGACGTATAGAAAGATCATTCATCAAATTCAAATGGAACTAAACGATCTTACCGCTTCGTCGCCGAACGAACCAAAGTCTTCCTCAACTTGAAGTAGCTGGCAGTTTATTTTCACAGGACCAGTTGAAAACGTTGCTGTATTTTCAGGGGAGTTGCCGTGACTCGGACTTAATTCATCGCTGTAGCCATTTTTCTTCAGTTTGGAAACAGATTGTCCGCTGTCACTCCCACTTACACTGCACTTTAGAAGTGAAGAATAAGTGCACAGCCACGCAGAAATACTGGTGTTTATTTTACTTTCGTCTTCATGTAGCTTCCCCTAAGCCAATAAAACCACGTAAGAAATGTGTTCGCGAAAGCTAGTGTAATACCTCTAGCCACAGTAGCAGCGTGGACTGGGGAACGTCAACTTCGGAGGCAATGGTTTCCATCGAAATACCGATAGTTTGTGTCACCTGCTCGAGGCATTGCTGATGGTCACATCTAAAAGAAAAAAAACATACCTTTTTTACGTTGGCAATCAGCTCCTCTTGAACTGGCTGATTGGATGGACTTCTTTCGTTACTTGGCGATTGGGTAGCTTCTACACTAGCATTGCCTTTCAAAACAGCGTCAACTGCTTGATTATTCTGTCCAGCTTTTCCTGTATTTCCAGTGACAACAGCATTTACAATTTTGTCATCTGAAGACCCTTCCTTCAAGGCTACTGGCTCTACTGGCTTTGCAACTCGAATCGCCGAGTGCTTGGGACAATAGGCACGTAAATCGACCTGCTTATACATCGCATGTTAATAGAAATAAAGAAAACAAGAAATTGCAATCTTACCTCGTCGGTATCTTCTCGACTTGAAACTTCCATCAAGAGCTTGGCATCCCTTGCACACAGAGGGTGAAATGCCGTTGCACACAAACCTGTTGGAAACACAAAATAACACTCAATGACGACAAGAGAGAAGAACGTATGTCGCTTACCGTGGCTACACTGAATGCAGGCACCGTGCCTTTCCTTGCACACAATGCAAACCAGCCGCCACCTTTCCTCCCTAACCCCTTCCACATTTTTCACTGGCTCCATGGCCACCGTGTCCTGAAGGAAAGTCTCGGGCACCCACTGCGTGCAAAAGAGATGCGCAAAGCGTGTCTGCTTGGAAGAAGAGTCGGCCTCCACAGCTACTGGCTTCAGTGCACCTCGTTTGCAAGGGCAAAGAACGCAGCTGAAAGAGCCTTGGTCATCAGCTTCCACAGCACCACCACTTCTCTGACGATAGGCACACCACGAGCACAACCACTGGCCGTCGGGAATGCTTTGAACACCATAGCATTCCTGGTGGACGGCGACGTTGCACGACTCGCAGAAAATAATCTGATTCCATGCGTCACTGTCCCCGCTGCTGCAAACATGGCACTGATCCTCCTCCTCGATATCAACCGGCGAGATGACCGTCGTTATGGTGTCCGGAGTCACGAGAGTTGCCTTTCTTCTCTTGCTCACGGGGCTGGCAGTAAGAAGCTTGCGCTTGATACCTCTAGCCGACTTATTCTCCTCGGAGCTCCCCTCGACCTTAAACTTCCTATCCTCCTCGGCCCATATATCCAAGTACCTACGTCCGCGAGGCCGGACGTTGAAGCAAGAGTCCTGTGCTACCGACGAATCTATAACCCCGAAGCTCGTCCGAGGGAAGAGCAGCTTCACATCCTCGGCAATCACCTCTCGAAAGTAATCCTCCATCTGGACCCAGAACATCCGAGGATTCCCATCGTCGAGATCACCAAACTCTCGCTTCTTACTCACGGCCTGCGTCTTCCGAGCTCGATTCTTCCGCTTTGGATCACCGGCGTTTGGAAGCTTTACCAGCGGACCACTGAAACCAGCTCCAGCACCGCCAGCATTTCCAGCTTCGTCACCAGCAAAAGGTGACTTCACCGCTAGAGCTTTGACTGCCTGTGAGTAAATATCCATGCCCCGACCCTGCGATAACTTTGGCCCAGTTTGATCGCTCCTATGAGACAAGCTGCTGGAAACACCACCCTCGGCACCCCGTCCCATCATTCTAATCGGGCTTCATGTCGATTTGTCGAGAGAGATGGAAGATTCTCTCAAGCCCGGGATTAGGGCTCCTCCGCTGGCAGCAAACCCTAGGGCCGATTCCTAGGAGGGAGGAGAGGAGAGATCTGGCATCATACCTCGAGTGCCGCCGCGCGACGCCGTGCGTCGGGCGTCGCCGAATCGATCCGGCCACATTCCCATGCTCCTCTCATTTTCGTGTGTTTTTTTCTCGAAGAAACCCTACTATTTGAGCCCTAAAGCTGGAGCCCTTAAGATAGGCGAATTTGCTTTCGTCTTTAGAATAAATTGGTGCTCCATCTGGGCTCCATCTTTGCTGGTATGGAGCTTTCTTTCCACTCCGCTCGACTCGACACTCACGCACTCACTCTCACTCACTCACTCTACACGGTGGTTTTGCTTTGTTCTTTCTTCCGCTCAATCAATCCTTGATCGATTTAATCGTCCTTGACCATGTTGAGAGGCTCGCTGAGAACAATCTTTGGAAGATCATACTTGGCACCTGGTTTGGATGAGAAAAGAGAAAACAAAGAACGTTAAGTTGTCCTCGAAGGAAGCGAGTGGAAAAACTTTAGAACCTCGTTCGTCGTAGCACGTTGATAGATCGTCCGTGGTGACGATGATCCCAGCGCTGTCCACAATCGTCTGTGCCAAGCTCAGATCTGCCTCGGCAGCAGCCTTGAGAGCGTCCCAGATCTCTGAAAGTTTCCACACAATTGACAAGGTGAGTGAGAGCGAGAGAAAAAAAGAAAGAACCAGCTAAGCTCTAGAGGAAAGCTTTACTTGATCCTCTGCTACGAAACAGGGATCCAGAAAAACTTCGAGGACAAATCTAGAAGACGATGGACAAGAAGAGCAAACATCCGAGAGGAGAAAGAGTTACCTCGCTGGCCACCATAATGTGGTGCAGTGTCCCAGAATTCTTCGCGCATTTTCTTGAGCTGGCCTCTGGTGATGGCCTCCGGATGCTTCCACGGCTTAGGTTTCTTCAATTTCTTGTCATGCCCTGATTGGAACCAGGAAATCAGCGAAAATTTCCATGCCAAGCTCGAGACGCACCTTTCCTCGACGAGATCACACAACCCATGCCCTACCAGGTACCAGCAGCAATCAGCCGCTCCAACATCAAATCCTCCAGCTCGGGCGACGATCTTCCCGTTGGAATTGGAGCGCGGCGCCTAGCTCCTCGCCGAAATTCTACCTCGCCGCGATCATCCGCGAAGACCTAACAGCAAAGCGAACGCCAAGATCATCCCCGCAAGAACACACGCGCAAAAGAGCCTAGGTAGAGGTAAAAAATAAAAAAAACGTGGAGGGATTTGTTACTTGCAATCCTAGCCGCGACGATATGCGGCCACAGTCGTGACACGTAGCAGCTAGGGTTTATGCGCGATGGCCAAGTCGTGCAAAGGGCTCGCCAGGGAGCTCGTCAAGTGCTTGGGCGAGTCTGTGTGCTACCAGGTTAGGGTTCTATGGGCCGATTCGCAGTGAATGATTGATTGATTGATCGCTCTAGGAGGAGAAGCGATCGTTGCGGGATTGCGCCGGGGAGCATCCTCCCAAGATCGCTCCTGCCTGTGTGGGTTTGCGAGAAACTTACGCCAAATGCAAGCGCGGCCAGGTGAATTTGCGAGATTTTACGCAATCGATCGCTCACAGCTCACAATGGAGGAATTTGTCTTTGCTACCAGGTGGACATGAGAACTCGCATTCAAGGAAACAAAGGCTACTAGAAGAAGCCCTGATGTCTTAGAAATACGAAGGAAACTTGGCCGAAGAACGGTATATTCCATCCCCAGATCCAACGGCTGTTTTTAAACGCTCCCTTGATTTCCCGCCATTTTCATTGTCTTTAGCCCTCTTGGATCATCCGGGCGTAGGCGCCGCGCGGATCCGCCATGAGGTGGTCGTGGCTGCCCAGCTCCACGATTCGGCCCTGCTGGAGCACGGCGATGGCGTGCGCATGCCGCACGGTGGACAATCGGTGAGCGATCACTAGGGTTGTGCGATTCCTCCTCTCCAGGATCTCGTCTAAAGCTTGCTGCACGGCTCTCTCAGATTCCGAGTCCAGCGCGCTCGTCGCCTCGTCCAGCATAAGAATTGCTGGATCCTTGATCACGGCCCTGGCGATGGCGATTCTCTGCTTTTGCCCTCCCGAGAGCTGGACGCCGCGCTCTCCAACGCTCGTTTCGTAGCCTTGAGGTAAGCTGCTGATAAACCCGTGAGCATTTGCGATCCTGGCTGCTGCGATTGTCTCTTCTTCCGTTGCATTGTCTTTGCCGTATGTGATGTTTGATCGTATGCTTGTCGAGAAGAGAGATGGTTCCTGGTTGACGAGGCTTATGTGCTTCCTGAGCCATCGTAAGTTGTAGTTCCTGAGGTTGTGGCCGTCTAGAAGCACGCGTCCAGCGGTTGGGTCGTAGAATCTCATCACTAGCTGGATGACTGAGCTCTTGCCTGATCCGCTCGAGCCTACCAGCGCGACAGTCATTCCGGCTCTCATGTGAAGATTAAACTTTGAGAGTACTGGTACCAGTGGTCTGCTGGGATAGCTAAAGTCGACTTCGATGAACTCGACTTCTCCGAGTATGTCGTCTGACTTCCTGCTGTGTGGTTCATCTGGTCTCATTTGTGTCTTTCTTCTGGTAATTTTCTGTAAGCAAGCGACTGAGTGAAGTGCCTTGGTGATGTCTGGGAAGAGATTGAGAGCCTCTGCGAGAACGTAGCCTGTCCATGCCAGTATCTGAAAGACCTTGAGAGCGTCCGCGTAGTTGCTGCGTCCTTTTTTAACTAGCAGCGAGACGTACCACAGTCCGGTTGCATTCGCAAGGTGGAGTCCACACTGCGAGAGTCCGAAGAGGATGCCACCTTTCTGAGCACGTATGAAGCTCTGCTTGAGTGGCTGACTCAACTGGTCCTGAAACACACCGAGGATCTTGGCTTCAGCGCAGAATGATGCTAGAGTTCTTATGTTGCTGACTGCTTCGCCAGCGACGTTGCTTGCTTTTGCATGTAGCTTTTCCAGGTCTCCTGCGAAGCCTTTTTGCAGGAATCCTTGCTGCAAGAGTGGTTATGTCTATTGTGCACTGGGATGAAAAGCATGCATACCTTCATTGACCCGCCGACCATTGAAAACGGAAACGTAGCAATGGTTATTATTGCCATTTCCCATTTTATTCTGAACCCGAGTGCCATAGCCAAGCAGATTGATGTGGTGTATTGAAGTAGCAAGCACACCCTGTCACTCATTGCTGTTCGGACGCTTGATGCATTCGAGGAAAGTTGAGCCGTGAGTGCATTGCTTGTATTTTCTTCCTTGTCAAACCACTCTATTTCGTTCTCCAAAATGGCTGTCAACAAGTCGAGAGTGAGCGATGTTTGTGGCGTGTTGCTCCTACCTGTAAAAGCATGTTCTTCGAGTTTTTGACTGATGCTTTCCGCTGCCTTAGCATATAAATAATGCTGAAAAATGTTCGTGCAGATGGCAGTAGCTCCCAGCGCAGTGATAATTGCGCACCATCTGTTCACTTTGTGCATGGACCCGGGCTGGTAGTAAAGTTGGACTACCTCGATGAGGAAAAGAGCGAATAGCGGATTGATGCAGCCTGTAACCAGAGCTGCTACACTGCCCGTTGATAACTCAAGCCAGTTTCTCCCTGCCAACTTACAAAGTTGCCACAGCGAACTCCAGCGACGCAGCTCAATTTCGGACTGTTGGTTTTTTGGTTCCTGTGAAAGAAGCGGGGAGTTGCCTGTGCGGTCTAGAGAAGGTCTGTAGGGAGACAAGCTCGAAGGTTGAAAATACGTCTCTGGCCTGTTCACCACAAGTAAGCAGCTGAATTTTCAGAGCACAAACTTTCGTGATTACTCACTGTTTATGGTTGTCCTTGTTCCTTTCTTGTAGACGCACCAGTGTAGCATATGCTCCTTCCTTTTGAAGAAGCTGCTCGTGAGTTCCAAGCTCAATCACCTTGCCTTTTGAGAAAACTGCAATTTTCTTGGCGTTCTGAATCGTGGAGAGTCGGTGTGCAACAGTTATCGCCGTGCGATTCACCATGACAGCGTCAAGAGCGTCCTTCACCTTATGCTCCGATTCGATATCCAGTGCACTTGTTGCTTCGTCGAGCAGCAAAATGGTAGGATTCTTAACGATCATCCTCGCTAATGCAATTCGTTGCTTTTGACCACCAGAGAGCTGCGCAGTACTATATCCCACCTAGTTTCCCGCCGACGATTCTTGAGAACATCAACAGGTATTTAGCTTCTCTCTTACCTGAGTCTCAAAACGTTCAGGCAGCTGCATGATAAATCCGATTGCATTTGATGCTGTAGCAGCAGCTTCAATTTCTTCATCAGTTGCATCTATCTTTCCAAGTCTGATGTTTTCTTTTATGCTGGTGGCAAACAGGACGGGTTCTTGTGCTACCACGCCAATGTTCTTTCTCAACCATTTGAGTTGTAGGTGCGCTATATTCCTTCCATCTAGTCGTATTTCTCCTGATATTTTGTGTTTTCCGTTTTTTCTCAGAGAGCTTCAAGAGGTGATTTAAAAAAGTACCTGAAATTGGATTGTAGAATCGCTGAAGAAGAGAGATTACTGTGCTCTTCCCTGAGCCGCTTTCACCGACCAACGCCACAGAACTTCCAGCGGGTACTTCAAGGGACAAGCCTTGAAATATTGTAACGTCCGGGCGTGCTGGATAGTGGAAGTGGATTTCATCGAACTCGATATATCCATCCAGCTTTTCAGGGACCTCGCCCTCAATATTTCTGCTGTCGATCTTTGACGCACGGTCGATGATATTGAAGATGTTGTAAGCTGCTACTCTGCCTCTCGAGAATACCTGCAACTCTGGAGTTGTCTGTCCAAGGGCCCTGGTACGTAAAAATTTAACATAAGTTCTTCATGATCTGCTCTGACTGATGTGCTTGCAGCTTACATGCCACCAAAGACGATGCAAAACACCGCAGTCAGAATCTTCCCTCCGTCGATGTGTCCTTTGGAGACGAGAATGCTACCGCACCAGAGCTCCAATGCCCAAGAACAGTTGACAATTCCAAGCGTAAGTCCAAGTCCCATCCCTCGGATCAACCCGCCTCTTTCCCCGATTTTCCTAGCGGCTTGTAGCGCATCAGAGAAGGAGGTGAGAGCACGAGACTCTTGAACGAAAGAGTAGACCGTTCTGATCTGTGATATTGTCTGTCTAGCAGGAAACAATGTAACGGTGAGAAGAACCACGGCGAGACGAATCCTTTTACCTGCTCGGCAATGGAGCTTGCTTGAGCATGCGACGCCTGGCTCCGTGTAAACATTGCGGTGTACAACCGGGTGTACACGGCCCCAGTTCCGGCAAGCAGTGGTACCGTAGCAATCGCCAGGAGTGCTATTTGCCAGCCATTGAAAAGCGCCACTACGACTCCGCCGATGAAAGTCGCCATGTTGTGTATGAATCCACCAACCTGTTTTCATCATCACGTTTATTCTGCGAGTCTGTCTACAACTTGAGGTACCTTCTCGCCCATCGCATCTTGAACTAGAAGTATATCACTGGCTATGTGATTAACGATGCTTCCCGTGTTTGCTTCAGTATCGAAGAACGCAACCTCTTGGTGCAGCAGTGACTCCAGGTATCTCACTCGGATCCGGCTCGACTGTCGCTCCCCCGTGTACAGCCAACACCAAACTTCTGCTCGGGCCAACAAGATCAAGAGAGAAGGAGCAAGGAGAAATCAGTCAGCTCTCACCTAGCCAAGTGACCCATCCAGAATTGAGCGCCACGATAAACATAGCGATCGCGAACTGCCAGGTAATTAAGCATTACTTTTCAAAGTTCCCCGGAAGAACACTGAGCTTTGCTTTTCGTGCTTACTTTCAACACAGCCGATCCCGCCGCATCCCTGTCACTCTGATTTGTGGCGAGAGCATTGACGATCCGGCCAAAGTAGTACATGTTGATCGGAAGAACGAGGCCGTGCGCGATGGCTGCCAAGCTTCCGGTTGCCATGAGCAAGCAATCGAGGCCATCGGCATACTTGAAGAGCTTCCGGAAAGAGACCTGCATTTTTTTTTGATGGAATGGGTGGGAGCTGCAAAGTGACACACTAATAAGAACGAAAGATGGTGGATATGCTCCAAGAATCTCCATTCCAACAACAGTGAACTCCGCCGCCGTCGATCTTTAACTTTAACAATAAGGTCCGTTTGCACGTAAACTATTTTATTCGTTATTAAAGTTCTTCCAGATATAATTATAGCTTATGGTTTTTGTTATGAAACTTTTTATATGACGCATTGTGTGGCCATTTTACAAGTCAATTGCTGGTATGGATCTCCACACATTTGGCGAGTCCCATCCTCAAAGAAACTGGAAGAAAGGGCTCTCTCGGCACTCCATCTCTCCTCCGGCTCCCAAACCAGCATGTTGTCCAGCAGCTCAAGAATATCTTCGTCGCCAATCTCCCTGTGGAGCCTCTCCTTGATCTCCTCTACCACCCTGTAAAGCTCTCTGGCGGCGTGGCTCTCGCGTACAACGCTGAAAGGGTTGTACCCTAGAACCAGCTCCGCGAGGATCACTCCAGCGCCCCACACGTCCACGCCACTTCCCAGCTCTTGGGTGTCGCCCAGGATGATCTCCGGCGCGTTGTAGGCCAGCGTTCCAATCGTTTCTGGGTCTCTTGGGGGCGTCGTCACCCTTCTCGCGTGATCAAAGTCGCACAGCTTCACCTTGGTGCCCTCCTTGTTGATCAGGACGTTGGCGGTCTTGATGTCCTGATGAACGATGCCATGCTCGTGCATGTAGGCTAGGGCTTGAAGGATCTGCTCGATGATCGTCTTGATCTCCTCCCTGTTGAGGGTTCTCTTCATAAGCATGCCCAATCTCTTCTTGAACTTGTAGAGATCCCCAAACATGTGCTCGAACACCATGTACGTTTTACCTCCAATCGAGCCCACGTCCAGAAGCTTGACGATGTTTCCATGTTGACATTCTTGCAGAAGACCATAGACCAGCTTCGTTTCCTCGTGTAGATTTAGATGCTCTACCATCTCTTTGATGGCGACCTTCTCCATAGTGTCGAGATTTATCCCCTCTCTCACCGTTCCACCGGTACCACGCCCCAGCCTTGTCGAGTAATCGATTGAGTATCGCGTCATCTCTCTTACTTCGTTGTGACGATAAAAATTAAGGGTGAGCTCATTAGCACGACGCTTTAGTACAAAGTTTTCCCTTTTTGACTAACTAAATGAAGCCCTCCTTTTTCTGTTAAAGAATATATTTAAATTACTTATTAAAAGTTAACAGATATCTTGAATATCCAGATTCGATATCCACCTTGTCAGGCCTTTGTGTTACTTGTAGCTCGCTCTCTACTGATGATACTTCTGGCACTGCTCGTAGCTCCTGTCCAAAAGAAGCAATCGCGCTGCGGTCTATGGTGCTCACGTCCATCACGCTGCTGTGATCTTTGTTTCTCTTCTTTGCTGCCTTCTTCCAGTTGTGAATCGAGTCCACTATGTGTTCCTGAAATATTGCTCTCTTGTAGTTGGATCCCATCTATGCACGAGCATTGTCGTCAGTATACATGCGGTGAGATTTAAAACTTTGCTTACCTGTGTCACAAGAGCATAGAGAGGTAACGTGCTATAGCTGCATAGTATTTGCACCAAGAACCTGATCACCAGACAATGTTACCTCTACCTGATTCACGCAAAACTTTCAAACTTACCCGGTGACAACTCGCGAATACGAGAAGATCCTATTCTGCATCAAGCAAGAGTCCCAGCCGAATTGCCACTGAAAAATGCATTCCAGGATTACTTAACTTCCTTACAGCATTTCATTATAACTTACCCAAACCCAAAGAAAAGTGGCCAATTCAAAAGCGTCCTGTAAAAACGCAAGAGATGTCACTGTGGTGCCAATTCAAGCGGCAGAAGCCAAACCAAACCTGGAAGAGAATGAAATGGATCAGATGTAGCATCAATCGTGGTTTGTTGAACCAAAACAGTGTGTCTCGAGGTTTTAAACCTGCTATCCGTGGGCCAGACAATCCAGAATCTTCCAAAGCCAACTTAGCGATTACATATTGGAGTTTCGCTCCGACCACTAAAACCATCTGACATGGCAAAGTTTAGAAGAGATAAATTAAAACCAAAAAGAAACAAAAGAAAAGAAAAACATTATACCACGATGGGAACAAGTGACATCCAGAAAAATAAGTTGACACCTGAACAAGATTATGTTACAAACAAGAAGCGGAAATAGAAAAATTGCTGACCATGAACATCAAAAAGGAAAAAACAGACAACAAACGTCCAGAAAATGACGCTGCAAAGAGCAAAGAGAAAAAAAAGAGTGTGGCATTAGCATTGTACCAAGCACAGAACTAAATACCTTATTCCAACAATATCTTTGAACTCATCCTCCAATGATCGAATCATGTAGCTGTGAAAATCATATCTCGGGCGTGTCTTATGCTTCTGCAACAACTCAGTGTTATTTCTTAGAGACTTTGTGATCAACTTACCGTCACAAAGCCCATACGCAAGGCCAAATAGTCCGATTTGGTTACCGACTGGCCAAATTGACGGAAGAAACAGAGCTGCAAAGACAGGAGCTTATCAAGAACTGCTCGCTCCATGATCAGAGACTACTCACCACACCAAGCAAGAGGCTGTTCCTGCTCCACAAGGAAGATGCATGGTAAGCAGCAAATGTTGATTGACGCTTTAGAGTCAAGGTTTTAGTTAACTCTGGCAATTTCAAGGTTTTAGTTAAAGAAGTTGATTTCTTTTCTGAATACGAGCATTAGTCTTACCAGCTAGCTGTTCCTGATTGTCCACATGAGTGTGAGCTTCTTCTTCCCATTTTATCCAAGTATGGACCTAATAAAACACTAAAACCGTCAGTAAAATCACGAGGTTCACATTGACGAACCTTCATAATAGCCAAGAGCATAGTCAGACATGAGTATAAAATGTGAGTGACAGCCATGACGAATAGAAACCTGTGTAGTTGTTCAAGGCCCAGGAAAGAGATAAATGGTTCGTGGCCCTAGACAAAGAACAGGATCTTACGAAAACAAGACCAAGCCAATTGAATGAATTTACAAACCTCCGTGCAAGAGTTTTCTAGTGAAGCGAGTTCCCTCCGCCGATTGCTTACGAGCAAGTGATCAGCCTCTTTCTTGGAGGAGGATGGGAGGTGACAAGGCATGCGTTGCTTATCAAAAAAGGACGATTTGATGCAGATCTTTGAGACGTAAGACGCGGTTATGGTGATAAGAAGTGAGATGAATCCCAGCAGCATCAACTCTGAAACAAGCATTCGTCGTTGCCATCAGAGCGTGCTTGAACAAACGAACCTTCTTTGATCTTCTCCAGTGCGGCATAGAGTGGTTTCCTCTTTGTTCTGGAGAGCCACTGCCAATCCAAGTCACATAAGATTGTTAGAGAACGATAGATCGTTACGAAATCGGGAAGAATTACTTGTCCGAGATGGTGTAGAGATCTCTCTCCTAGCAGCGAAATAACAACGAACAACGTACACACTATCGCTACTGACCATGTAGGAGTTAACTCTAGAGATCTTGAAGCGCTGCCACCTGCCATAGCTCTATCTAATACGCAGGGAGGAAATGAAACATACGCGCGCTCGAAGATATAAGTATGTTTGGTCGAGAAAGAAATCCACACGAAAACGTGTTGGGAGTGGCCGGCCGGCCACATATCCTCCACAGACACAGGAAGGAGGAGCGAAAGGCTTCCAGCACTAGCGACAAGGCACAGCGCCAAATTCTTCTATAGTTTTGGTCGCCAGGGTGAGAATATCCATGAAAGCACTCAACGACGCTCTCAGGAATCTGGCCTCTGTGGCGGAGAATGCGACCACCAGACGCTCACCTCTGGCCGAGATTGCTCGCTTCACTTTGTCGGGCTGAAGCTCCGCGTCCACGGCCAGCACCGCCATCACAAGCCGCGCCGAATCCTCGCTCGCGTACTGGACCTCCAGTGTGCACGAAAACGGCGAGATCGCTGCTGCCGCCGCCGCCGCCTCCAGCGCTGCCGGGGCGCCCGAAATCACTACACCCGCCATGGCCAAGAAATATTTCGCTAAAACCCTAAGTGTGACAATGTACGGCAATAGACCCCCATTGTACAGTTATTCAGTACGGCAAGCCTGTTGCAACATGTACGGCACAATTTTCTATCCCGTTGTAGCGGGTCTGTGGCCCCTGACGTGGTTCATGGTAAATCTGAGGTGAGGTTAGATTCCTAGATTGTCATCTTTGTTTCAACTAAGAGTCATTTCTGTCCATGGTCAATTTTAAAATTGATTGTGATTCTAAAATTGTATAAACTAGGCTAGCATAGCATGACAAAATCATGGCCAAAAAGCTTGATGTTCACTAATATTTAGAGATTGTGAATCATGAGACATGAGTTAGCTTGGTTTTGGGAAGAGAAATGTGAGTGTGGAGTGACTATGATGCTGTGATGAGATGAATTATATGTAATTACTGTGTGTCGTACTGATTTTGACTAAGATGGGGATTTTGGCTAGAGTAAAAGATAAGTATTTAAATCAATTTGGTCACACAATGGGATAGCCCTGTTGACACAAACCACGGGAATATTCTAAGAATATTCTATGGCCTGTGGGATTTAAGGCCGTAATGCCTTTAAGGGTTGGGAGGTTGGCTTAGGGTTCGCTCTCTTGTTCGTTTCAGTGGTATTGGAGCAGCACGTTCTTTTGGGGATGGCGGGTGAGCAAGACATTGATCCTGATGAGGAGTATGGCGTTAGTGATGATAGCCATGACGATGCGAAAGAGACTCTTGATGATGTTGTTGTGCGGCAAGGATGCCAGATTTCTAAGGTTTAGAGCGACATAAAGGAGGTTAAGGATTCCGTCAATCTCATTAAGGATTTCTTGCTTCGCATGATGAAACGTGTATGTACATTCCCCAATGTCCCGTAGGGACTAATACAAAAACCGGGCATGCTGCCCGAATCTCATGCTACCTAGTGGGGTCTCCCTCATCTAAAGTGGGACTAGGCCTGCAGTAAAAGCGGCTGCGGATTTCTTGCTTCGCATGAACCCTCAAGGGTTGAATCAATTTCATGTCCGTGATTACCATTGGTACGTCAAGCATGCCAAGGATTATGGTATCGTGGAATGGAAATCATCACCAGATGTTTGTGATAGTCAAGAGGTTGATTCTTGGTTGGAATTGTGGGAAAGTCGTTGGTCTTACAATCCTTGTGAGGATAAGGTGAAAATAGATTTCTTTGTGATGAAGCTTACGGGCCATGCTTCTTCGTGGTGGAAGAACTACATCAAAGCTAATCTGAAGCTGACTTCTTGGACTGATTTGACAAAGGTTTTCCGCGCTTCGTTTGTCAAGAAGTTTGAAGAAGTTGATCTTGTGAATTAGTTGTTAGAGATCCGGCAAGGGACTCTGTCTTTGGATGCGTATGCCCACAAGTTCCGTGATCTTTGCCTTAGTCTCACAGGCATCTATAATGAGCTGCTAAAGGTGCAATGTTTTATCAAAGGATTGAGCTCGGTGGATGTGCAGTAGAAGGTCAAGAAGGATTTTCCAGCAACATTGACTGATGCTATCACTAAGGCTAGATCTTTTCGCCCGAACCGTCAGTCAACTTGGTCAACTATGGTCAACGAGATGGTCTACGGAGTAGTCAACGTGATGACCAGCTCACCAATGCTTCATATTCGGGGAAGAAACAACCGTTGTTCTGTTATGGCTCGAAGCATGAAGATGGTAGTGAGGCTAAGAAACTTCGTTTGGACCAGCGAGAGAAGGACAAAGTGGAGGGCAATTGTTTTCGTTGCTATAGAGCTAGACATCAAAGCAAGGATTGTTCTGAAGGGGTCAAAGAATAATAATGTGACTGTGGTGGAAATTATAGGCAATGATGTGAGTGATAGTGCTTTTGGGGCCGTATTGCTTCAAGTTAGGCATTGTCTCGCATTCATGAGCCACAAGTTTGATGCCACACAATGGAATTGACCTACTCGAGAATGCCAATATTATCTATATAGATCGGACTTCTATGTAGATTCAAATCATCAATCTCTCCAGATGTGGATCTTTGAGGCCGCCTTGCTCGTTGGCAAGAGTTCCTGCAGGAAATGTCTGTTAAGATCCGGTACAAGCATGGAGGTGACAATAAGGTGGCTGATGCGTTATCTAGGATGGTAAATTCTATCTCATTCGTGAAGCTATCCAGAGATCTCTTGGATGAGCTTAAGGAGTTTGCTGACTTCGACTTCTTTATCACTGATATTCGCGCAAAGGTTTTGTTGAGGGACGCCTCTACGGATTTGAAGGGTGACAAGTTTGCGTCATTCGAAATACGAGATGGAATTCTGGTGAAGAAGGGACGTGTAGTGGTTCCTCGTGTTGACAAACTCATCAAACGGATTTTTGTTGAGTGTCATGATGTGCCAAGTGTTGGGCATCCGGGGGTATTGAGAACGTATATGTTGGTGAAGAGGCATTTCTTTTGGCCTGGGATGAAGTCAAATGTTGAGAAGTACGTACGTGGTTGTTTGACCTGCCAAGCGGTCAAAGTTGATCATCAGAAGCTTGCTAGCCTCTATCATCCTTTACGTGTACCCGAGAATAAGTGAGATAGCATCTCGATGGACTTTATCACTGGTTTGCCCAAAACCTTTCGAGGAAATGATGCTATTTGGGTTGTTGTGGATCGTTTGACGAAGATGGCTCACTTCTTCCCTGTGAAGACAACGATAAAAACTTCTGAACTTGCTCAGTTGTTTGTAGACCGGTTTATTCAGTCTCTATGGTTTGCCAGGTGACATTGTGAGTGATCGGGATCCTAAGTTTATGTCCAAGTTTTGGCAAATGGTCTTTGAGAAACTAAAAACTAAACTGAGCATGAGTAGTGGTGAGCATCCACAATCTGATGGGCAAACAGAGTGCATGAATCAGCTATTAGAAGATATGCTACGGTCTTTTGTGGGAAACTTGACTCAACAGGGAGTATGGGAGAAATACTTGCCTTTACTTCAGTTTGCTTACAATAGTGCTCATCAATCAGCTATTGGCATGTCCCCTTTTATGGCGATGTATGGCTATGAGCCTAGGTCTCATGTGAGTTTGAATTTGGCTTTGGTTCGGGTTCCTCATGCTTGTGATTTCCTGGAGGATATGCAAGACAAGCTTGAGTTGGCAAAATTGAACATGAGGCAAGCTCAAGAACAAGACAAAAGATTGGCTAATGAGCATCATCGTCATCAAGAGTACAAAGTTGGTGACAAGGTTTTCCTTAAGCTGTCGGATGCACAACGGTCTCTAAAAGGAGGTGGCAGTGCCAAGTTGTCTCCACGGTATTGTGGACCTTGGACAATTTTACAGTGTGTAGGGGATCTTGCATACACTTCGGACTTGCCAATTAGTTCGAAGATTCTGTAAGCCACAAATTTTTCCTTTCCAATTTGCCAGCTTATCTCGTCTATCTGACCAACTCTACCTTGGCTTGTGCTAAGTTCCCTCGCCAAGGTTCTCGCCTATGGTACCAGCTCCTACTTGGTCCTACTTGGTTTCAGCTACTCACTGCACGAGCAACGGAGTGTTAGCCATCCATCTACGGATTCCCAAATCTCTCCCAATACCCCTCCCCGGGTTAGACTGGACTTAAGGTTCGGCTACACTCCCCACAGGCACAAGCAGCCAAGCACACCAAGCCTCCAGATTCCTAACACCCCTTGGTACCACAAGACTTGATCATGGGACCCTCTAAATCCCAAGCCTTGGGTGCAGCACTTGCTTCGGGACGTCGGGGCGAAACACCATGGCCTAACGGCCCGGTATGAGTACCTCCACCCCCCCCCCCCCATCCCGAAGAAAGGTCCAAGCCCCTAGGAAGGGCGAGGACCAATGAGCCGCATGGGACTCAAGTGGGGCACCACTCCACATGAGTCGGGAGCACCGCAGTCGGTTTCCCTTTCGGGAGTGGGAGCTGCTCTTGAGCACTTCCTTGGATGGCCCCTCCGGCACGAGCGAAGTCCATGCTCACTCCCACCCAAGGTTCCTCGGTCCCAGTCTCAACCTCATAGTCGGTTTGGAACGCCAACTGGAGAGTCCCTTCAAACTGGTTCCTGGACCTCACTATCCCTACTATACTTTTGGAACCCCCTGCAGCCCCCCCCCCCTTGGGAGACACACGCTTTGGGCTTTCACCCCTTGAGCTGTATTAGTATGTGGACTTAGTCTTAGAATCAATCTTGGACTCGATCTCGGACCCGACTTCGGACTCGGTCTCGGACTCGATCTCAGACTCGATCTCGGACCCCATCTCGGACTCGACTTCGGACTCGACCTCGGACTCGGTCTCGGACCCGATTTGGGTCTCGGACTCCGTCTCGAACTCGGTCTCGATCTCGGTCTCTGATTCGGCCTCGGCTCGATCCCGGACTCTATCTCGAACTCGGTCTCAGAGTCGGTCTTGGACTAGATCTTCAACTCGGTCCCATCCGATGAACTCTTTGTCATTTCGGTCAAGCTTTCGGGGATCCTTTAGCCTACGACATCTCGGGGAGTCGGTTCCTTACAACTCCACCACCCATAGAAGAAGTTCAATGCCCACATCAAACGTCTCTTTTTATCCTACGACTTGTTGACCATGTCTCCGGGGGCATCCCCCCACTTAGCGGTGTGCCTAAGTTAGCCTCCCCGGCCAAGAGCCCATGACAACGAAATATAGGTGTCCCTATACCCCTCACCTCACCACGCCCTAGTATGGGGTCGGGACTTGAACCCAGCCCTGCTTTACTAGGGGGTTGAGACTCAAACCCAACCTCCGTGACACAGGTCAGAGTATCACAGGTGCTGGCGGAGTGGTGGAGACTTACATTGGCGGCAGTACGGCTTCACCATACTATCCTCCGGGATAGGGGGAAGCTTGAGAGGCTCGAGGAGTGGCAGAAAGCATGGATGCCATGTTTTGGTAGAGGAGATCACAAGGAGGTTCGTTGGAGATGGCACCCCCCGGAGTCGATCTTGCGGTCAGCACGAAGGGGGGACGTGGATCTGGATGCGATACGACGGAGACGACCGCAGCCGC